AAACTCTACTTATGCACTTCTGTCAAAACAACACAGTGTATCTGATGCATAAAACTGCAATGTTCATCCTACGAAGCGACAATGTTCATTTCATAAAAAATAATGTTCTATCCAAACAGTCAAAGAAAAGGATACTTACTTGTTCTAGTAGTAATCAAACTCAGCATGTGTATCCGTGCATCTCAACACCATATAGAACAAATCCATAAACCTTCCTTTTCCCTCAAATAGCCAATGTGATTCTTTGAGTTTTCGCCTATGTGCCATGTGCACAAGCGATGACGTGCTTCCCTATAAACTTCCGGAATGGCGCTCGCCATTGATGTACTCTGATCAGTCATCAAAGTAGCTGGCTCTTTACCTCCCATTGACTCTAAAAACTTAGAGAAAAGTCACACAAACGATGGGACCTTTATATTTAGCAAAAAACCAATCCCAAACATGATGTTTTGGTAGTGATGGTTCATTCCCATAAAAGGCGCACACACAAGTTTGTACCTCATTGTCCTATAGGTTGTGTCGTGCACCACCAAATCCCCAAACACCTCATAATCATGTTTCATCTTAGCATCTCTCCAGAAAATGGCACTTTACCTACAAGAGTCATCATGCAAGAAATCGAAAAAAAAGTCAGGCTCATTTGCTTTCCTCTTCCTTAGAATATTGAGCAACTTATTCTCATCACCACCCTCCCACCTCGCACGTTCAAATGTAGCCACCTTGTTTCTCGCATCCGTGATGGTGTAATTAAGGTTGGGAGAACCATCTCCTTGCTTATGCAATATCTTATACCCGTGTGTAAGGCCAATTCCGTGCTCCGTGCAATATCAAAAGTAGTTCTGCATGAGCTACAGTTCATCTAAAACTCAAAATGTTCATCTTACAAAACTACAATGCTCATGGAAGACAAAAGAACATCAAAAACATTCTGAATATTGAAATTCATCCAGTTATAAAAGAAATCGTGGTTCACCTTCAACAGAAACGACTTCAAATTCTTCCGCAACAATGATGCTTTCATCGTCTGATTCCTTCGCATCAACGATGCGTTCATTGTCTGATTCTTCACTTGAGTAAGGGACTATAGCACCAGAATTAGGAACAACAGACATTCCTTCCGAACAACTCATCTAGGAGACGAAAATAAACACAAAAAATGCAATGAATCTCATGAAACAATTTAAACGCTATTGCTGGTGAGATTGAAATTCATACGATACAGATGATGAGATTCTAATTAAATCAAAGACATCCAACAAATGAAGAGTTATCTTAGAATTACTGACACGGATTGAAATCCGTTGCTGCAAATCAAGAATTGAGACGAAGGATCGTCGGTGATCGTTCAATTGCAAAATTAGGTCGTAAAAAAGTAGAAGAAAAAAAGAGGAGACAAAGACTAGGTGTGCGTAAGGAACCCTCTATTTTTTAAAATTTGGGAACGTAGTTTTTTAACTCTGACCTACACCGCCTGTCCCGGTGCTCCCTCCCCGTATAATTTACCGAGCTAGGCCAGTTTATTGTCATTTTTTCTAGAATTTTGTCCCAGTTTACAAATTATCACCTAATTTGGCTAGCGAATCAGCTAATTCGTAGCCATGACGTTTTATGAATGTAATATCTATTTTTCATTGTTGGTCCAAAAGTTTGGTGATTATGCGTAGTATGTTACTGTTGACCGATAGGCTTCGCCATTAATTGAGTTTACCGCTTGTAGGCTGTCAATTTGAAGTTGGACCCTTCTAAAGCCCATACTTTATGCAATTTGCTGCACAAGGAAAGCAGCCCAATATTCAGCTTCTAGAATGGAGCAATTTCCCATTTTTGTAGTGAATCCCGTAACCCATTTTCCTTCAAGTAGTTGCCTTGCCGTTCTTTTAGGTGTCCACGGCCTTTGTTCATCCATGTCCGATTTGCCAGAAATATTAGGAATAGAATATCTATCTATCCGTATCCATTAAGTTGGTATCAGGTAGGACATTGTATATCAATGAAATTTCTAAAATTTTTTGGTTATTGCTTACATTTTGATATAATTTTTAGTTACTAGTGCTGATAATTTAAAGAGCAATTGAAAATTTGTTACGATTTTATTTCATAGTTTAGCTTATCTAGTGTGTGTTTTATTCAAATAACTTTTTCACTTAATTTTTATCATGATTTCTAAGTTTTGAAAAAAAGGTTACTGAAGTTGACATTGAAAGTATATATCAATTATTATGAACTTATAACCAAGTAAGCCAAGTAGGCCATTTAAGGAAGTAAAACAATGGAAGCATTTGCTAAATTAGCTTAAACGGGAGGGAATAAACACTAAACATTCAAGCTCCGGCTTAAAGAAATAAAATGGGCTCATGTAGAGTTTGGCAGTCCAATTGGAAGCCTATTAAAGCACTGCCACCATTAAATGGAAACCACTCCTTGCCAGGAATGGTAACAATTAAACACATTGGGTAAAGGATTCGACGCTAATTTTATTGGATAATTGTTTCGATCTTAAAGCGGAATTCTGTAGTACGTATATTTTTCATGGAGTGTGTTTTGCCTCGCAAGGTTAAATAGAAGATACTCTTTCATTTCCTAAAAATAGTACAGAATTTTTAGTATAAATTTCAAAATTTAATGTATACTGTTTTGTTAAAATAGAAAGAGAACATATAGAGCGGAAAAGCAATTTATTTCAGAAAATTAGAATGCTCTTAGATCATTAACGATGATTTGTCGAGTTGGAACGCACATCGTCAATGTGATAACCTTACATATATATCGTTGGAGGAGTTTGCATTTTCCAAAACCCTCCAAAAGTTTAGCTATTATTTATTAAGATCAAATTTTCCGAAGACACGTGCAGGTAATCAACCTTTAAACATCCTATTTAACTACGTGAAAATAAAATATTGTAACAGTGGAAATGACAATTGACAAGAGCCCATTGTTTTTCTTTTCTTGGTTAATTATAAGTGAGGTTATAATTCCATGAATTCAGCAGCCGTTGATTAGAAACAAGAAGAATTGACAAAGGAGAGAAGAAATCACATAGACAAAGGAGATTGAAATTAATGAGGGAAAACAACTCTTATTATTGATCGGATGAGTCTGTTCATTACTGGGACTCTTTATCTCAGCTTCAACTAACTTAATCAGAGTAAATCTTCTCTTTTAATTCTAATCATTCAATCGCGACGCTTAAAATTGTCTTCTTCCTTCTTCCTCTTTTTATTTATTTATTTATTTTTTATTTCCTGGGGATGAAATTACATTTTTGTTTTCCCAATTGCTTATGAAAATCACGTTCATGTACAAACCTCAATAGCCACTAAAAGACACTACATCAAAACGGAACATGAATGAATCAAAGGACTACAGGAGAACTTACAGAGAGTAATGAATATGAGAGCGATCGTGGAATACTAGGACGAGGGAGCGTTAAAAACACAACACGGTGAAGAATAAATCACCAAATACGCCATGGAGATGAGAAGAGCTAATTAATATACGTATAATGGATTTTGACGTTTATTGATCAAACTGTATAAGTTTAAACAAGTCTTTTTATATTCTTCGAAAGAGTAATGATATTTATCTCACCTAATTCATCTTACCATTCTACTTCATTTAGATGGCATCTATTGATTGAGTAATGCATTTTTACATTGGATCAAATATTATTATATTTCTTATTAGTAAATATTAGTCCTAGTGATAATACTTTGTATTATTATAATTTATCCAAAAGGGATTATTATTTTCAAAGTTAGGGTCTATTTAATTTAAAATTTAAGGTATAAAAGTATTCAAATATTATATAAACCTAACCAAAAAATAATTAAATTAACTTATAAGATTTTATTTAATAATTAATTAACTTATTAAATTTCATCTAATAACTAAATGCCATGTAGAGTAAGATGAAAAGGTGAGATAATTTAGTTGAGATGTGTATCATCACTCCTTTCAAAATGACTGTTCAATATTTTGTGTTTCTAAAATCGATTTCATTAAAGTGTGAGTGGAACATTTATATTTGTTTGATTGGTTCTGTTTTTTTCCTAAAGTTTAGAAGAACAAAAAATGAAATCATCACAAATTTCACGAAAATTTTCTAACGTGTAGAAGCAAACATAATGCAAATTCGCCAGACAGTAAACTAACAAAAAGAGAAGTTTCTCTTTTTTTCCCCTTCAAATTTCAACTGCGTTACATGTAAGACGGAAATGGTTAAGAAGAACAAAGTTTTCTTGGAGGAAAAATGAGAACTAGAAAAGGCATATACGACAGCCTTCTTCGCCATTTCTCTTTAGGAGGCAATAATCCGTTTACAACGACTATCAATTTACAGTTCATCTTAAACAAGATTCGATTTTTAAACCTCTAATAAGTTGACTTAGAATATTATCACCAGCCTGCAATCACAAACCCGTCTTGCAAATATCTCTTTCAATCTCATTTTAGCGACGCAACTATTGTTTATTTCCTTAAAGGAATTAATCTGATTGGCACTTCACTCATGTAATTTCTTCCAATTAAATTGATCTTTTCTTTAGGAAAATTTAAATAAAATTAATAATTAATCATTGACCTAGACTTTGTGTAAGTCTTATATGTACTTGTCACGATACTTTTATTTATCTCGAGTGACATGGAAATTGAAATACTCACAACCTGAATACGATGTTTATAATTTTATGGTTCATCATTATCACGCGCATGGAAGGCGTCTCCTAAATAGACATCATCCGACGGAGAAGTTCCGTATAGACCAACAATTGATAAGTTCCAAATTTCTAACTTCAAACGTCTTAACACTTAATCTTAATGGTTCTTTGCATAGACGTATATATTATTCTCATGGAGATCTTTATATATCTCTAAAAGAAATTCACTTGATTGCGCTTGAATCAGTCTGAATATGATATATATTGCTTAGAAATAGTGCATGAATCATTTACTAGATGAAAATAAAAACAAAAAAAAAAAAAAAGAAAAGAAAAAAGAGAGAGGAAAAATTGGACCAATAATCGAGCTTGCAAAATTTGTTAAAAACACTCGGACTAGGTAATTGCTCCAGTCTTTTTTATCTATGCAAAACGTATTTGAGTTTTAAAATTAGTATTAAAAATAACACAGATGTGTTAAAAGTTGATGTGAACTAATCTTTTGGACCGACAGAGTAAAATTGTTGTTTCTTTCAGGAGAACAAAGAAAAATAAAGAGGACTTGGATTACACTTTCTAGGAAATTTGCGAACGGATAAAACTAAACCAGTTATACTTTAAAGTTCTTACTTCATCAAGTTTCAAGAACAGAGAAAGAAGAAAATCACAGGTACAAAAACCCTGTGCTTGCTCTCCATGGAGTTCATTCCCGTGGCACCACTAAGTTTTCTAGTGGTTTTGTCCACAGTTCTGCTTTCTAGTTCTTCTTCTCCGGCTAATAATTTCACCATAGCAAAGCCCGGCTGCCCGGACCATTGTGGCGATGTAAGCATCCCTTTCCCATTTGGCATCGGAGAAGGTTGTTACCTTGATCAGAACTCCAATTTCCGCCTCGACTGCAAATCTTCCGGACCTAATTTACAGCGCAGTCCCTTCGAAGTTACAAATATATCGCTGGAAGGACAGTTTCGCACCTCAAATTACGTCGGATATGATTGCTATGATAAACATAACCGAAGTCTCAAGTTCAATAGTCCATGGTTCTCCCTCGGGGTCCCCTATATTTTCAATAGCACAGCCAATAAGTTCACCGTTATCGGTTGTGATTCATACGCCTTTGTTAAAGGTAAAAACATTAATTTTTTTATTTATTTTTTTTGGTAAGGTAAACACATTGCTTATGCTTCGGTCGATCAATATAAGTAGTAAAAAATTTATAAAATCAATTTGTCCCGGTTGAAATGTGAAGAGGATATAAAGACGTACACATATGCTTAATGAGGTCTTTTCCATCAATGACATGTCATCTTCTTAGAGCCATTTTCAATTCATTCTGTGATATCAATTCTTAATGCATGTGTGAAATAACGTGTCTAAATTGATTTCTGACCCTTTCACTGGTCCAATTGAAAAAGGTACAAGTGACTCCCGCGAATACTCTACTGGATGCACTGCCATGTGCAATTACAAGGACGATGTTGAGGACGGGGCGTGTTCGGGTATCGGATGCTGCCAGACATCAATACCAAGTGGTGCCTGGCTGATTAATGTCAGTTTGAGCAGCTATTACAATCACAGCTTTGTCTGGAGTTTCAATCCTTGCACTTTTGCTTTCGTGGTTGAAGACGATGCTTTTCAGTTCTTCGCTGACAATATCACCAATTTAGAAAGGGTTGAAGCTCTTCCGGTGATTGTGGACTGGGTGATTGCATACGAAAACTGTTCTGAGGCTAAAATAAACAAAAGCAGTTATGCATGTGGCTTAAATAGCGAGTGCTATGATGCTAAAGGAGCTTTAGGTTATCGGTGTCGGTGCAATCAAGGATACGAGGGCAACCCTTATCTAGGTTGCCAAGGTAACTTATCAAATCTTTGATTCTTTGTTGATTTTAATTGCCTTAAATAATACTCTCTACAAAATTGGTCAAATTTGTTCATCATTTTAATGTAAAACGATTTATTTATTTATTTATTATGGATGGAGACACTATTGTAATCGTTTGAAAAGTTTTGCAGATATTGATGAGTGTGGGAATCCCTACCAATGTGGAAAATATAGCGTCTGTACTAACAAGGAGGGAAGTTTTGAGTGCAATTGCATCAAAGGGTATTACAAGGACAATGATGGTGATGGACGATGCGTTGCAGACAGTAAAAAGAATAATTGGCCTATTATCTTAGGTTAGCCATTTAGTTTATGACAGTGAAATTCCCTTTAAAGAATCAAAGAAATTCATGTTTGAAGTTTTCCTCAGTAAACAAAGACACACTTAAAGAAACTAAACTAGTCTCATTTTGGATGTTGATTCACGCTGGAAGTGAAAAGTCGATAATGATATATATATATATATATATATATATATATATATATATATCCCTGTTTTACCTTAAGTTTCTTGACAATTTTTGATGCAGGTGTTGGCCTAAGTGGAGGTGCAGTGTCTTTACTGATATTTTCATTTTGTTTCTACTCCGAATGGATTAAAAGAAAGGAAAAGAAGACTAGAGAAGAGTTTTTCAAGAATAATGGTGGCATCATTTTACAGCAAAAACTTAGTACTACTGCACAAGGAGGAGGCACTAGAATTTTCACACATGAAGAATTACAAAAGGCCACGAATGATTTTGATAAAAGCCAAATCATCGGCCGAGGAGGATTCGGAACAGTTTTCAAGGGAGAATTGATGGATAAAAAAGTAGTGGCAATCAAGAAGTCTAGAGGAGTCAACGAACGCCAAGTTGACCAGTTTATCAATGAGGTAATGTTGCTCACCCATATCAACAGTAGATATGTTGTAAAATTGTTAGGCTGTTGTTTGGAGACGGAAGTTCCACTACTTGTCTATGAGTACATCGACAATGGGACACTCTTTGAACATTTGCACAACAGACTCAAATCATCAAAGCTTTCCTGGAGCATTCGTTTGCGGATAGCATCAGAAATTGCTGGAGTGCTCTCATATTTGCACTCCATCGCCTCGCCTCCTATAATCCATCGGGACATAAAGTCAGCTAACATACTTCTTGATAAGAATTACGCTGCAAAAGTGTCTGATTTTGGGACGTCAAGATTGATTTTAGCAGATGATGATCAGGTTGCGACAATGGTGCAAGGCACACTTGGCTATTTGGACCCAGAATACATGCAAACAGGTTTGTTAACTGAGAAAAGTGATGTTTACAGCTTTGGAATTGTCTTAATAGAGCTGTTAACTGGCAAAAAGGTATTGGAGGCGGAAAAATTCCTATCAAATCAGTTCCTTGCTTCTTTGAAAGAAAATAATTTGGCTCGAATGCTTGATAACAACATATCATGCCCTGAAAACATTGAACAACTAAATGAAGTTGCGATGATTGCAAAGAGATGTATTAGCGTGAGAGGTGAGGATAGACCATGTATGCGAGATGTAGAAAGGGAACTCGTTTTATTGGCAGCAAAAGCCAAGGAAATATCAATTGAAGTTTTCGAGATTGATTCCTCCAAAAATAAAGCCTTGCTTGGTATGCACTCAATTGAATATGGGATTTGCGAAGATTCTGCATCCACTGGACAATATTCTGCCTCTCACTTTACTACACAACAGCCATTGTTAGATACTATAATATCCAGTGGTAGATGAAGAGTACGGAAGCCATAGTTACAACTCCAAGTATTCCATCTGTTCTAAAATGATTGTCTAGTACGAATTTTTATCTTTTATTGTAATTTGTAGTAAAAGTGAAAATTCAAATTAGAAAACTATTTCAGGATAGAGGGATTATATGTTTTCCTTGTAAACACCAAATAAAGTACTGTTTGTGTCAGTGTGTAATTGTCGATGACCTTGTTAATGTAGTAGCTGTAGAAAGTTGAAGATTTACTTGTATCATTTACTTGCGTGTTTGCCTTCTATTGATTCGGAAAGATGATTTCGTATCAGAAAAATGTTGAATATTTTTGTTTACCAAAAAAAAAAAAAGAAGTAAAAAATAGATGATCAATTTAGAGCCGAATCTTGTAATATGCGGTTCAATGGGATGAACTAATAATTTGTAACACACTCTGGTTGATTGCTACTCTACATAGATACAGTAGAGTTGTTGAGTTTTTACGGTTAGTTAGAGGTTAACAATCTCAGATAAACCAATTCAAGAATATCACCACACAGTCATACCTGAATGCATAAATTAAAAAGGAAAACCTAATTTATTCAATGTGAGAGGCTTGCCACAAAATTGCTTTTATTACCCTCTGCTGTCCAATATCTATTTCGTGGTTTGACTCGCACCAGAAAGTAGAGAAAACAACACATGAATGCAAATCTGCCGAAGAAAACTGGCAAAAAATGACATTTTTCCCTTCGAAAAGGCATGAAAGTCGCACCTTTTTCTTCATCTATTTAAGTCCCCCTTGTTACTACTCTTTCCGGTCCTTAATATAAATTATTTTTATTTGTCCTAGGTTTAACCTAGTATGTATTTTTAATTGAAGAAAAAACGTTAAAAACATTTCATAACAATCACGAAAATACAACGAACGTGAAAATATATTTTTAACGTTTTTTTGACAATTAAAAATACGTAATAGGTGAAACCTGATACAAAATCAAAATGTCTTATATTAAGAACCAAGAGAGTATTACCCTAAAAGTTAGGGGTAATTGCCAAGATGACTCTGTTCAGTACTCGTTCGTACCTATAGGAAAATGAAGACATAGTAATACTTGATATTTCATGTATATTATTGTGCTTCTCGAGTTACGTTAAAGTGTGTGTGTAAGAATTTCTCATTCGTTTGGTTGTCTCCTAAATTTTGGAAGACAAAAGAGAATGCAATCATTACAAACATTATATACTTTTTCAACGTGTATAAGAAGCAAACTAGACGCAGGACTGTAAACTAGCAACAAGAGAAGAACTACATAAAAGTTAAAATGTTCTTACGATTAAAAAAAAAAAATCTTGGAGGGAAAAAAGGCCATTTGTATAAATTTTGGAAGACAAAAGAGAATGCAATCATTACAAACATTATATACTTTTTCAACGTGTATAAGAAGCAAACTAGACGCAGGACTGTAAACTAGCAACAAGAGAAGAACTACATAAAAGTTAAAATGTTCTTACGATTAAAAAAAAAAAAATCTTGGAGGGAAAAAAGGCCATTTGTATAATACAATACTTTCCCTGACTTTTCAGTCCCATTTTACCGACTCAAATATTGTTCATTACCGTAAACTAATTAATTTGATTGGTAGTTCAATCGTGTAATTTTTTCTTAGTTGATCTTTTCTTGTGGAAAGCTTATAAATAATTGGGAAATTATCTGGTAAACCCGGGGGTACCATGTCCCCCCCATACGCGTGTATCATACTCTCTTACAATAGCGTTAGTCCGCTATTATAATTTAGCTTTCTCTTTCTTTTTTTTTTTAAACGCGGGGTTATATAAATAACCGAATTCATTCAAATTTAGAAAACTTTGTGATAGAATATTATTGATGGGCGATGACCGGTGGCGATCAAGGCGTTGAGGTTGACACGGCTGGCGGCGATCGAGTCGTTGAGACGGCGATGGCGTTCAGCGATCGAGGAAAGGCTCCGATTCCACCAGAGTGGCGAAACGGTGATTGGATCGACGATATGCTGAGTTCAGATCGATGATGAGTTATGTTGTTGATGATTCCGACTTGATGAATGTGGAATGTAGTGGTAGCAAATCCATCGAACAATCTTGCTGTGCCAGCAAATCAACGCAAGGTCACAGTTCTGTTGTAGATCAGCTGGAATCAGGTTTGTGTAGGTTTCAGAGTGTACTGTATTAAATCAAATTTTTTCACAGTTCTGTTTTTGTTAATGTTGTATAAAGTGGATAAGCAGTTATGCTGTGTTGAATATCCAAAATTTTTGTACTGGATATCCAACTTGTTTGTACTGGATATCCAACTTGTTTGTGCTGGATATCCAGCTTATGTGTACTGGTTATCCAACTGATTTACATACGTATCCAAATTTTATTTGCTGGATATCCAACTGAATTTTACTGGATATCCAACATTTTTTAGTTGTGTATATTGAATTGGTGTTTTTTCACAGTTCGGAGTGTACTGTTTGTGAGAGAATAATCAATCTAGTTTTTTTATAGTTCTGTTTTTGTTAATGTTGTATGAAGTGGATAATCAGTTATGCTGTGTTGGATATCCAACATGTTTGTACTAGATATCCAAGTTGTTTGTACTGGATATCCAGCTTATGTGTACTGGTTATCCAACGGATTTACTTGCATATCCAAATTTTATTTGCTGGATATCCAACTGATTTGTACTAGATATCCAACATTTTTGAGTTGTTTATATTGATTTGGTGTATCAAAGATTTTTTTAAAAAAAATTTTTTGTTTTTCTGTTTGTCTCATTTTTTGTAAAAGATAACCATATCAATGAGTTGGGGGATGATGTGATGCTGCATGATGCTTTGCGCATGGAAGTTACATCTGCTCTGAAGGGTAGGTTTTCTAACTTGTTTATATGTGTTTAATTTTTTTTTTGATTTGTTTATCCATTGTGTTAATACTGATTATCCGACTGCATGGTAATGGTTATCAAACCATCTCTTTTGTTTTTCTCAGAATGTGGAGAAGATAATAGCAGTTTGGGAGTTGATAATGTGATGGTGGAGGAGGATGCCTTGCACAAGGAAATTTCATCTGTGACGAAGAATAATGATTTGGCTGTTTTTACTTTAGTTGGCAAGACTGCAAGAAGTGAGAAAGAAGCTTATGATTTGTATAATGATCATGCCCGATTGATTGGTTTTAGTGTGAGAGTGGGAAAACAAAAGTTTAGAGGTAAGAGTGATAAAGTTAGGATGAAGAAATTCTGTTGTAACCCCAAAGGATACAAGAGATCCGGTAGAAATGGTGATGTGTGCCATGAGAGGATTAATTTTCGGTGTGGGTGTCCAGCTTATATCCATTTTACTGTTGACAAAGATGGCTTGTGGACCTGTACAAAGCATCTGGTTGATCACAATCATGATCTTGTGCCGAATGAAATGATTGGACTTCTTCGATCTCAACGTGAAGTAGATGAAAATGATATAAAGATAATCAGAGACATGACAAGGAGTGGCATCCCTTTGGTTGATTCATATAAGTTTGTGGCAAAATTACACGGGGGAAGTCCGAACATGAAGTATACTTTGAGAGATGCCTACAATTATGAGCGTCCTGGTGTTGGATTTGAAGGTGGCGATTGTAATCAGCTCATGAAGATTTTTTGGGACAGGAAGGAAACTGAAGAAGATTTCTTCTTTGATTTTGACTGTGATGAGCAGGGTAGACTGTGTATTTTCTTCTGGAGGGATGGCAGAATGCGAAAGGATTATGATTTGTTTGGTGACTTGCTTGTGTTTGATACAACGTATCGAGCAAACAAATATGGAATGATCTGTGCTCCGTTTGTGGGTATGGATAATCATAACAAGAATGTCATGTTTGGTTGTGGGTTTCTGTTAAACGAGAAAGAACCCTCTTTTGATTGGTTGTTCAAGCAGTTTTTGAAATCAATGGGAGATAAGAAGCCACAAACCATAATGACAGATCAAGCACCTTCCATTGCTGTAAGTATTCGGACATGTTTTCCAAGTTCTCGGCATCATCTCTGTGTATGGCACATAGGTGAAAATTCAAGAAAGCGAATTGGTCATTTAAAGAACAAGCCAGATTTTGTTAAGAACTTTAATTATATGATGAAATACACTTCAACAGAAATCGAGTTCGAGGTATTATGGAGGAGGTCAGTTTGTCAATATTTTTATTATTATTTTAATCATTACCATGATTAAGGGTGTCTCTTATTTTTTTTGTTGTGTGGGTATGTGTTAGTGGTCATGCATGATCTTCTTGATGATTACTTATAGGTAGGTAAGTTATACAACAATGGTGGATAACCAGCAAATAATGTATGGACAAACAGCCGCATAGAAGCACAACTAAAAAAAGGCATGGATAACTAGTTTACAGATTGTGGATAACTACATGTTATGACTGGATAACTAGTTTACACATTCTGGATAACCAGCAATTATGGCTGGATAACTAGTTTACACATTCTGGATAACCACCCGTTATGACTGGATAACTATTTTACACATTGTGGATAACCAACAATTATCTCTGGATAACCACCCGTTATGGTTAGATAATTAGTAGAAAGCCTTTGTATAAGCATTAGGAAATTATTGCAGGGGTTTATAGTGGTTACTGATGGATAGACAGTTCCATGTTTTGGATAATCTGTAAATGATTACTGGATAACTAGTTTACACATTCTGGATAACCAGCAATTATGGCTAGATAACTAGTTTACACATTCTGGATAACCACCCGTTATGGCTGGATAACTAGTTTACACATTCTGGATAACCACCCGTTGTGACGTAAAATGTTTGGCGTTTTGGGATAGAGCACTTTAAGCATGTGGTTGTACATGATACTAGGTTACAGAGATTGTCATGCACGTGCAGGTACTACTCTGAGGCGGGCATGTTTTGTTGCCACATTCTTCGAATCTGTTATGTAACCTCTGTTGATGAGTTTCCTAAAGATTATATATGTATGAGATAGACAAAAGGTTATGGTACCAAGTCAAGCATAGCTAATGAGGGAGATGGAAAAGCTGCTGGGCCATTGCTGTGGAAGGCACTAATTATGAGACGATTTTCAGATTTGGTGTATGCAAGTGAATATAACAAAGATGCAAAGAAATGTTGTGACGAGGCGGTTGACAGGCTTAAAGAAGAACTCGGTAGTTTCGTTGGTTCAAATAATAATGATGAGTCTGTAGACAATGATGGTGTTATGAAGAATCCGTCTGTAAAGAAGAAGAAGTTTGGTCCCAGGAACGAACGTCCTAAAAGCATTGTTGAGAAGGCATGTAATAAAGTCAGAGGCAGGAAAACAAA